GCGTGAAGTATCCCTGTTAGGTTTGTAGGCGCCAGTGCGTCGCCGCTCCACTTTGTGTTAGGCTCTAATATTTAATCTGGCGGAGTCAGCGTTATTCAACTCATACTTTTGAAATGTTTGCACATCCTGTATGGATTATTCTCATTTTAATTGATGGAAAAAAATATGTATTAAAGGAAAATACATATAATGTGTGTTTTGTAAATATTAAGGTGGTTCCGTATCAAACTTAATGATTTCCAAAGCACACGAATTTCTACACAATTTCTTACAGCCTTTCATAATCGATGGCGAAAAAGCAACAGCGAGGCGATGAAGTGTAAAGCCCGACGAAAGGAACTATAGTCCGGCTGTATAATTTTTTATCGCTTCGTACAGCCCGGCCGTATGATTTTCTCCGCATTCTACAGCCAGCTATATGATTTTCCGTAGCCTTCTTTAGTCGGCTATAAGAATTCCTATGGTATTTTGAAACGCAGCTCTTATCGCCAAGGTCTTATCGGTTGCCCAAGCAGGTCTTCGATTGGGTTCCTCCTGGAAGGCGACGGCGTGGACGTCCTGTGAAAGGTTGGCGACAAGGGGTGGAGGAGGAGATCAGAAGGTGCCAATTGCCTGATGATCTCTGGGAGGATAGGGGGCAATGGCGATTGGGCGTCGCAGAGCGCGAGGCGGCGCTGTAATCGCGACTTTATGTATGTATGTAGCTCTTATCGCCAATTTTTACCAGGGGCAACAAGAGGCTCAAAGTATAATCCTAGGAAGAATCGGTCCCAAAGTGGCTTTTTAATTTGGAGATGGTCAGATTTTGCCCACACCATTTTGATCTTCTGGATTACTTAATTATTACTTTTTCAACTTTTATTTCTTGCCTATTTATTCAAATACGTGATCACACAAAATCGTTTTAAGAATTTTACTGGTAAATTGATCAAGTTACGTTTATCATCAGCATAAATTGAGATATTGCAACAACGCAGCATTTGCTATTAAATGGCTGAATTTTTAACTCATCATTGATAACGGGTCAAGGCTCATGTGGTCAAGCCAACAACAATCTCCGATATTTCCGGCGCAATATCCCTCCGGAAATCTGTAAATTATCTATGGGACGGCATTGCCATTTTAAAAGCTGTAAGTCAACGCTAAGCTTACACACACAGTGCACATGCAGGCATATCTGAAAGGTTAAACAATGTAAAATTACAATAATCGAAACTATCATTGAACTGAAACCAAAATGCTTACTTTTCTCTTGAGACCTATTTCTACCCTAGAAACTTCACTCTCAGATTTCATTTTAGCTACATGTCGATGAAATCCTGCGTATCCCAAAAGAGACCAAAATAAAATCTTCTAATGGGAGATCCTTTTATATTATAAAACTATGTTAAACCTTTTAAGCAATTCGAAAAAGTGCGAAGAACTTACTCGTGGCCCAAGACTTACTCGTGGGAATGGCACTTAAAAATCAGACCCGCTCTAAAATATGTTCCATAAAGATTGAGCATGCCGGAAATTGGTAAACCAAAATTGTAAAAATAATCGTATTTTGTCCAAACTATAAAAAGGATCCTATTGTGTCCAAATGATAAAAATAATCGTATTTTGTCCAATCTATGAAAAATAGAAAAAAACTCTTTTTGATTTGATTTAAATGTCTGTGAAAATTTTGAATGTAACAATAAGGGAACTTACCTATTGGGACGTGGGAAACGAATAAGAAACCGATATGCTGCGTAAGTAAACTTCTATTGCTTAGAGCCTCTTCAGATTTTTAGTCATCATCAGAGATTAAAAGTATACACGTCACGTATTAACTTGTGTATCACGAAATAAGGTTGAACATTTTGAGCGAAGAATAATTGGACTACATTTTGCAATTTGGAACTATAAATTCTAGCCCGGTTTAAAAACAACGTACTTGCCATTTGTTTCCCTATGCACATAAGTGTTTTTCTAGAGGAGCCAAAATGTATGGTTCCAAATTGCAAAATGCAGTCCAATTAGCACTAGCAATTTATAGAATAAAGATCAAAGTAACGGAATCTGAACGCTTTAGCTTCTTTTTCGTTTCTCAGAAAACATGTCAGTGTTCAACGTAACATCTCCAAATCTTACTCAATAAGAAATCATAAAGTATCACGTGACGCATAACACCTGAGGCGCGAAGCGGTCAGAGGGCAGCGACACCCTCTTACCGGGATACGTTTATTGGTCTGTTTATGCCTCCTAATATGTGTATAATTAAGAAAAAAAAAGATCTCCAAATTCCCAGTAATTGCAACTTTGAAAATTTCAAGTTTAGATGAAATAATGATGCACTTGCTATCCGGCGTCAGTTGGTAAACAGATTAATAGTGCTCTATCCACGAATGATATTAATTAGGCTACAGGCGAGAGATGCGCGGCGGGCGGGGGTCAAGGGTTTGTTTTGTCAACTCTTTGTGAAACATTTGGTCATGGCGTATTAAGCTGGCATAGGGGGAGACTCCCCGTCCCCCTCCCCTCGTCCCCCAGTTTTGGAGCTTATCATAGTCTGGGCCAATTCATTTGAGTGTTGTCGGGTTTGCGTCGTGTGCAGTCGATGCATTNGGGGGGGGGGGGGGGGTATTTCGGATTAACTTTGATCGTTCGCCCCTCATCCCAACCCGGTCGATTCGCAGGCCAATCCACCATGAATAATCGTCGTTAGACTTCAAAGCTGGAGATTTGTTTATTTAATGGGTGACGTTGGTCTACGAAAGTTCGTAGCCCGTACCAATTAATTGAATAATGGGAGAAATGACTTGGGTAAACGTGTCACCTCTGAATGGATGTATTTCTTCCAAACGGAGCTATGTGCATTATGACTTGAGCCCTATTATGCATGTATTCTTATGGATCTCAGGGCTCATGTCTTAATGCACATTGTTCCGTTTGGCAGAAATACGTCCAAATAGTAAATGGGTGGCCCTCGTTTGAAGTCATGGTGCATGGCCACAAAGGTTATTTTTGTCCGTACCCGTTTTAATGCGTAATAGAGGGAACGGCTTTTGCAAAAGTTACACTTCTTCAATAGTGAACGGTTGGCTTTCGTTTGATGTTATGATACCTATCAATTTTTTCTCCTTCCTCTATATGCTTTGATACAGAAACAATGAGGAGCTGAGAGTAGATGGGATCATCAGTGCAAGTGTAATGGTGAAAAGAGGCATAGTTTCAAATATATGCACGTAACTTTTGGTACGTTTCGTTACATGAGTACTATCGCGAAAAAAAAAAAAAAAAAAATAAAAAATGAGAATGGGAGCGGGAAAACAAACTTCCTGTCCTGCCTATACATTTACCTGTAGCCCTATCAAATTGTTCTATCCTATAAATCTGAAATATAACGATGATTATTTTCAGAGGGATGGATAAATGGACGCAACAACTTATAACCCGAATCAATTTTTACTTAGTAATTACATGTATAATTATGTTCAATTTTATAATTTGTTTTCGTAAATATGCTCCTTGGAAGTTTTATCCGGGGTAGATGGGGTCTACCTTCTTACCCAACTTTTCCTTTGCACTAATTTTACTACTGATGGATGAGAATTGAATTACAGCATCCCGGGCAAACATTAATGAATGCGTTTCCTTGGTAAAAATTGGCGATAGGAGCTGCGTTTCAAAATACCATAGGAGTTCTTATAGCCGACTAAAGAAGGCTATTGAAAATCATATGGCTGGCTGTAGAAAGCGGAGCAAATCATATAGCCGCGCTATACGAAGCTATAAAAAAGTATAAAGTCGGGCTATAGTTCCTATCGCCGGGCTTTACACTTTATCACCATTGGCTATGAAAGGCTATAAGAAATTGTGTAGAAATTCGTTTGCTTCGGAAATCATTAAGTTTGATACGGAACTACCTTTATAATTACAAAACACACATTATACTTTCCTTTAAAACATATTTTTTTTTTCATCAATTAAAATGAGAATAGTCCATACAGAGTGTGCAAACATTTCAAAATCATGAGTTGAAAAACGCTGACTCCGCGAGATTAAATATTAGAGCCTAACACGAAGCGGAGCGGCGACGCACTGGCGCCTACAAACCTAAGGAGGATACTTCACGCATTGCGCAATTCGTGAAGTATCCCTGTTAGGTTTGTAGGCGCCAATGCGTTTCGCGCTGGCTGCCTGCCGCGCCGCAGCGTGCCACGGCGCTTGAAGCAACTATTTCACACCAGAGGTATTGCACGGTATCATAAGAAATTGAAGGCGCTCCAACATATTTAGAATGACAGGCATCCTTCAAAAGTACGGAGCTTTCCTCGCAAAATAAATCAAGATACTACGGCACAAAAAGAGAGCGGTAGTCCAATAACTAACTAAGTCCTAGTGTCCGTATTTAGTAACGTTTAGCATAAACTTTATCGTCTGGCTGTTGCTTAATCGCCATCGCTATAAAAGGGTTTAAGAAATTGTACAGCCGGCTACAGGAACTATTGGAAATCTTACAGCCGGCTTTAGGTCTTTAGTATTTTGGAACACACATTCTACTGCCAATTTTTACCAGGCGGTTAACATAAGATCCCCAAGAGTAAACTTCCCGCAGATTATTTGAGTGAGTTTCTAAATATACACATGAAATGGTTGTGGTTATTATTATTCTATAAATGATTTCGCATGACTGAAACAGGTGCAAATCGAGCTGCTTTTAGGTTCCTTTACTCTCCGGCCAAAAATGATTCGTAGGAAACTTTGACCTAAGTGTACCTTTTGCTCTGAACCGCCTTCATGACCGAGGCCGGAGTATTAACTCATTGAGTGTTCTGAGTTTACCGAACTTTGCACGTATCTTAGCGGTTGATTGAAAAATCTTTTTTACAAGGGTCACCAGTAATTATTTTATTCATTAAATATGATAGATACTCTGCAGCCCGTGACAAGATATACAGTGAAAAAACGATTTAAAAAGTGGGTAACAAGGCTAAAATTTCACATACACAGAACCAAAACGTATCGGCTGAAAATTCAACCATCCTCAGTTGCATAAATCAAAATAAAAATGGTTAAAAATCTAAAATAGTACCTGATAAGTACCTTTCAATTGGGAATGTTGTTATTATGTTATGTTGTTGTATAATAACAACATTCCCAATTGAAAGGTACTTATCAGGTACTATTTTAGATTTTTAACCATTTTTATTTTGATTCATGCAACTGAGGATGGCTAAATTTTCAGCCGAAACGTTTTGGTTTTGTGTATGTAAAATTTTAGCCTTGTTACCCGCTTTTTAAATTGTTTTTTTATAGTATTTTATTCATTCTACCTACAAATACAATTATTAAACGGAACCCAAGTCAAAGAGATCTGGTATAGCCGGGGTACTTGTTGAATGGTTCCGTGCTGTAAGTTTTCAATTGCGGGCATTTAAGATCGGCCGTGGCATTCTGAACCAAAGTGTTGACGGTTTCCAAGACACTCTTCGTAAGATCGCTGATAGTGTCCTTGAGTAGGTCCGGCATGGCCAACTGGGCAAACTGGATCCCAAAGCAGGCAGCATTGTTACCCTGTCGTAGATTACGAACGTTGTACAACCCTCCCGTGATGTTCGCAGGATCGACCAGGGTCATCGAGTTAGTGGTGCCGGTGTTACCACCGATGGAGAGGAACTTCGGATACTTGAGGGCGGTCTTCAACAAGTCGGTGGCGAAGAATACATTCGTGTATTCGTTTCCAATCGCGCGCCTGTACCAATTGTGCGGGATGCGCTCGTGGCCCGGAAAATACCTCAAATTTTTGTCGTCCCCTGTGACACCGAAGAACGATTTTAACACATTCCGGGTGAGAATCCCCTCGGGATGCTCTGCAGTCCTGTTGGCCATCAGCCTGAAAATGAAGAAGTAGGCAGCCGGCGTGACGACGACTCCCGTGAGGGGGCCCCGGAAGAAGTAAGGGTTCGAACGCTTGCTTTGCTCGAAGCGTCGTGAGTGGAAAGCGTTGATCATGTCCAAGTCGTATTTCGTGTTGCGGAAGTAGAGATCCTTGAACTGGGACATCTGGAGCCTCGCTGCGTCACCGAAAAGGTAAAGATCCCCGCGGGTTGGTGAGGCGTCGCCCTCGTACTTATTGTGGCTGAACGAGAGGCCTTTGGGTTCGTTCAAAAGCCCCTGGACACCGGGAAGTTTAACGTCTTTTGATGGACCCCCTATACTCCACTTGGTTAGATCGCCAACGAATACGGATCCGTAGACGGCGAGAATCGTTCCGATGTCGATTCCTAGCCCATACACACGGTTTGTGGCTTCGATGAACTGCTGGATGCTACCGACTCCGTTGCGTGGGAGGTAGTTGTGGTTGGCGAGAGCGTTAAGCCCTGGACATGGGCCTCTTTCATCCCCTTTTCCGGGGGGTCTAAATTCATGCTCACCTGAAACGTCGACCAATTGAAGCCGTGGGTTGAAGGCAAGGGGAGGTAATTGGGTCCCTGTTCTGGCACCTGCCTCGAGATTTTCGGCATTTTCTTGCTGGGCAAAGTATTCACTAGCGAGCAATATAATTGAGAGAGTGATAAACGCCTTCATAATTTAACAGAGTTAATTTTGTGTTTCTATCAATATCAAGTGTGAAAATGTGTCGTGGGTAGAATCGCAACTTACAGAACTTCAATGTTAAATTTTAAGACTTTGTTGCTTCACTGATTCTGCTTGCAGCTCATTCTCCAGAAGTTATATGGTTACGGATATTTACCTGCGAATATGTTTTTTTATATGAAAGAAAGTGTCACACACAGTGAGGAGAGCAAAACCAACTGTGACAGTGCGAAGAAATCCTTCCAATACTGAACGTAATTTTTCATGAGTGTTCTATGACCTCCTGTAAAATCAAACAAAGACTATCAAAAGTGGTTCTCGAATTAATTTAGGTTCTGAATAATTGATATGAGAGGTTATTTTTTGTTTTCTTTGATAAAATTATTCTAAGTTGTAAAATGACTTATTATGAATAGAAGAAAAAAGAATAATAATCCTATATCATACAATTTTAGACTGAGAGCACGAATAATTACAGTCAAAGGTTGTGATCAAGAAAGACAGAGTGCCTACACTTTTTCGCGAGTGTAACACCGACAATCCTTGATCACAAATAGTTGCATGGAGGTGCTTGTAGTACTTGCATTTTGAAATCTAAAGAACCTTGGTTTTATCCTTATTTGATAAAATTTTTTTTCTTTAATTGCATAAGTATGTCATCGTCTCATAAAGAGATGGCTGTCCAACTATTGTCACGATTGAAAAAAAATTAAAAACTAAATTAAAATAGCAATACACATTTTCACATTCATAAGATGAAGGCTAGTTTTTGAGGTGGTAATTCATCTATTTTTTGGAAATTTTTCCCATTGCCCTCGATTTAAAAACCTAATTCAATCTACATAGGAGATATACGCATTTTATCGTATTGAATACTTCCTACTTAACATCTTGAAAATAAAGTGTCTAGGACAAATCATTTACATGTTAATGAAATCGTCTGTGAAAACCGTGATGTAAAGTGTAAACATTTTGTCGCATACTGATCCCTTCCGATAATTTTTACTAAAATTACTTTTACAGATTTTTTTCAGATAGCAATTCTACACGTAACGTTATTTGGCGACGCTTTCACGCACAGAAAAAAAATGATGTGATGCGTGTATTTCTTACATAAATTCAATAAGATAATTTCAAAGAAGGTAACGAATGGCCGAAAACATACAAAAAGACAGCACAAAAACCAGCGTCTATTTTGTTCATTAAATTTTTATCGGTGTATTTACTTTAATTTTTTATTTTTTCAATTAGTAAGATACTCGAATTGGTAAAATACAGCTCATCTTCTATGCGACGGCGACGCACAACAACTGCACTATTGAGCGTGATCAGTTATCAAGAATAAGACCAATTCGAGGCTCTTTAATTTCCTAAATGCGATTACCTAAGTAAATACAACTATTCGTGTTCCTAGGATGCCCGTGTTGCCTACACAAAAATTGCAGGCACCATGGAATTCCTGATCAAAACCCTTCTCTTCAGGCAATAGTGTTTCAGGCATGTCTTTAGTTGTTTTGCAATGACGTTTTCAGTAGGAGGGAGGTTTGAATCCTGACACCATGACTGGAAAATTATCCCCAAAATAAGTTCTCTTCGTGATTTTTAAGGAATATTTCACTGTAGTACACCTCTCTCACACCTAATAAAAAATCTCTGGCTACGCCACCGAAGATGGATGTATTATCATATTGACCACATCAAACCTTGGCTTAAGGGAGAGTCTTTTGTTTTTTCTTCTTTTTTATAGGTTTGTGACGTATATTAGAACTGCCACAATATTTAATAAATACTTCATTTTGAAAATTGCTAGTATGTACTTAATTTGTCATAGATCTCTCCTCTAGGTGTTAATGACCCAGCTTTGTTTCTTTTTGGTGTGTGTCGCACTAGGTGGTTTTAAAATTTCCAAGGAAACACCTGTGTCTGTAGTAACGTTTTGTCTAACAACAAAACTGCACAAGAAAAATTTGGAAAAAAATTTGGAAAAGCTTGGTGAAACTGGGAATATTATTTTATTAAAGTACCTATAAATAAATGTATAAAACAACAACAACGTACCTCAATTCATTTTCGGCGAAGAAAAATCAATCAGGACTGTAATTCACAAGTAGGCGATTTTTCCAGAATTTTAGGAGTAAATTTAAAGTCGCAATCTGGTGTATGTTCGATATTCCAGCCAAAAACCAAACTGATTATGTTTCGGGTCAAGATTTGTTTCTCAGGAAAGAAGAGGGGTAAAAATGATACTTTAACGACTAAAAAAAATATGACGCGAGAAATGTTAGTAAAATATTTCCTGGCGGTCACTCCAGCGTTTAAGCTCGTTTAATTTTCCGAAACAATGTATGCACCCTCCATCGTGTTATCCACTTACCACGCTCCGTGAATACAATAGGATGGACATTTTCTATTAAATCAATCAGCGGTTAAGTGCTATTAGGCTACATGACACATGTCGTCGCGTCCAGTGTTATCAGACTCTCCGCTAATTGAAGGGCTTATCATTCTTAGAGGTGTGATTAATTATTGGAGTGAGTTAGTAACCCACAGATAATTTTCCAACAAGTCATTGTTATTGGGTCTTTAGCGACGCTTTGCAAAGGTGGGTAATGAGACGGCAAAATAAATTTAGCAAACTCAAGTGGGTCCCTCTAATCACTCTGCAAAATATGCATGTATGATAGTGACTTGACTGTCTTGTATCTCTGTCTGAACATTGCTAGTTTTGACTTCATAAGTTCGTTGAACTCTTGAAGAGCCGATGTAAAACCAGGCGATGCTCGTAGAAAAGGAAACAACGCGTTTTGCGGAACATTAGTCCAATTCATCACTGCTATTTGGCAAATCTTTCCAAAAGAGACCGTTTAAGTCAATTTTTCCCTAATTCCTTTTGATGAATTAAGTTTAACTGGCTGCTTTCATAGCTAACCAGAAAATTAAAACCAACTAAAGCTAAAATATTTGTGGAAGCATCCATCGGTACTGAGCCGCTTCAACAAATATTTTACCTTAAGTTTGTTTTAATTTTTAGTTTTATAGTTTCGCACTTGATAAAGGCTAATCAAATTAGCTACACTGGTCACATGATTAAAGTTTGTTTGGCCGTTGCTCAACTTTACTTTATTCTACTCGTTGGGCGGAAACGGAAGTAAAATTATAAACATTACCATTTTTAGATAGTATGACACTTGATCAAAGGGTCCAATCGAGTTCCTTTGACAGATCGTTGTGCCAACTTCCGTGCTTCAAGATTCGTACCTTTACCTACCATATTTACTTTATTTTTATTTATTTATTTATTACTTTGAATACTAGTTTTGTAAATCTATAGTAATAATATTATATGTAAAGCACCCCGTTGTATATATCCTTCTCCTCACTGGAAAAAAAAGTAGCTTGAAACAAATCAAAATCAGCTTGAAGCAAGCTGGAAAAAATCTTAAATTTGCTGCCAAGAAACGTATAGCTTGAAATAGGCATGGCCGTGCTGCTTGAAATTAGCTACCCGCGGGCGGAATCTTAATTATTTTTCGTTTAATGCTCGGATCCAATACTAAATACTAAAAGTTTTATTCATTTTTCATAAAATTCCGTAACGTAGGGATAAAACGTTATTGATTCTTCGACATGGATCATGTTGAAGTCGTCGTGCGTTGCCGCGGGTTCTGTCCTCGGTTTGCAGCACTGTTAAAATGCGCGGCTTTTGGAGATCTCCTGGAATGACTTGAGAATGTAGGAATGTATAACTTAATGCCCGTGTCGAAAATAAAGGCGGAGTGGTTACAATCCAATGGAAACTTAATTCAAGAAGTTGGCTGCAAACTTAATTTAAGTCTAATTTTTTCAGCTATTTCCAAGATTCGTGTCATGCTTGAAACCAGGAATCTTGAATCGAGTATACATTATCTTGAATCAAGAAACAACTTCTTAGAATTAGCAACCATGGTGGCTTGATGTAAGACTCAGCAGGTTTGACTCAAGATTATTGTGCTGCTTAAATTAAGCTAGCAGGTGATCCAAGCTATAAGGTAGCTGCAATTAAGAATCTCGAATCTTGAATTCAGCAATAAATTACTTGTTTTAAGATACAAATTCTTGAATCAAGCTGATTTTTTCTCAAGATTCCGAGACGGCTTGATCGTAGCAGACTTTTTTTTTCCAGTGCTTAGCCCTCTATCTTGGGGGTGGGGCCGAATTTTTTCAGTCCTTCCACCGTACTTAAATATACTCACGACGGGTCTCATCTGCACTTAAGTCCGGCTTAGCGCTTCTGATTTGCCGGTGGTGCGGTTTGGACTCATCGATGGATGTTGCACTCCGTGTGAAAGAGCCGACAACATTCGGCCCCTGATCTTAAGTCGTCCCTGGTCTTAAGTCTTTAGTCTTACGTCTAAAATTGTATTATGATTGTAAATACTTTAAATCCTGGACGAAGAGTTTCATAAATAAAATCTGTTTAAAAAAAAGTAGTGGATAGTTCAAAAATGAACTTGAACTGCAAAAGAAAATCATGAACTCGATCGGAGCAGTGTGAGGTTGAAACTGGATCCAATGGATAAATCGGATCACTGGCAGACGTCGTGCTGCGACACGGTTAATTAGTCTCACCGACTCATGACGACACGCTATATAAGCTTCCAAACGACCGCGATGGAGTCTTGAAAACTCAACCTTTTGCGGCTCGAATAAGCAACGGATGGCCTGCACCAGGGTGCCTGATTATGCCGGGTGTGAATACTGCCGAGTCACCTAACGCGACGGCTCCACTACTGCAAAGATGCTTCGCGAAAATGCGATTGACATTCCACCCAGAGCGTTCACCGCAATACCGCAATGCTCGAGAGGGACGTAACGGAGCTGACTTTTTTGTCGTATCCTGCCTTATGTATACAGTCAAAATAGCAGAAATGAACCCACGCCATTAACTGTCTCCGAGCCAATTATGGAGCCTCCCTCCGATTGAGTACCACTTGAACTCGTTGCCCTAGAATACGCCAAGTGTACGATCGTCATCGAACACAAAATCTGGCTGGGGCAGTGCACTGATCTCATTACCGAAAAAAGGAATAACACTTTCCATTTTTTCTTTTTTTCTTTCCTCAAACTTATATTTCTCAAAATTTAACCTTCCCCTTCAACCCTTTTGTATTTTCACTGATGTAACCTTGATTTCCATGTAAATGCACAGAGTTGTAAATGGCCCTAGATGCTAAAGCATCGCTTTAAAATAAACTTATCTTACTACTACTACTTCCCTCAAAAGTTCACTACATAGTTAAAGGTGAAATTCGTGAATTCTGCAGCAACTGAACTATTTCCAAGAGACTTTTGGTCATCAGTTGACAATTCTACCGTAATATTCAGTGTAATTTTCTTTCTAGGCGCTCCGAAGTCCATTTTCTCAAAACTCTCTGCGTAGAGTCAATGCTCTCTTCGATAATACGGCAAAATAGGATACACGTTCTGATAATCCAAGGACACAACTTCAGTTTTGAGACGAGCCAAAAAATTGTTCACTCAATACTTATGACTTTGAGTGTACCTTTAAAATACTAAGGGATAGACTGACTCCAAGTGAAATTTGCTCTGAGTACTCTCTTTCCATTTTCATTGCGTACTTTAATTGATACGGAATGCAATAGAAACTTCATAATTTCAAAATTCGTATGGAAAGACACTTAATGTTTTATTGAGTCAATTTTTGCTTGAGGATTTTAAAAGTAATGTGCTATCTTAAGTCTCTTACACCCGAATTATATATATTTCTGAACCCCTCTCGCTCCGCGTTTTTAGGTCAAAACATGACCATGGATTGTATATTAATTAGCTAGCTTATTGTAATAGATTTATAATTGGGTAAACTCAATTTCATACAAATTTAATGAACAACATGATCATTTTATTTCTGCTGGATTCCATATCTGCCTCTCGAATGGTTCTTAATTCTTATCAGTTCAAATTGAATGGATGTTTTTCTTTCAATTTCTTTAGGCCACAATTTCAGAATTTATAAGCTCCACAGGACCAGTGTGATGTTTTCATTAAATATGAAAATTTTGAAACATACCAACATAAGTCTAAAATGATTTCCTGTATTGACGTATATTGCTTATCATTGTTAAACTTTAATGGAGAATAAAAATTAAAACTATTAATCACGAAAAATCTTTAAACACGCATTTTTACGTAATGAGAAATGTGAGGGCTCTCAAAATAGTGTTTCATTCATTTGTCCGCAAAGTATCTAAGTGGTGATATTGTTAAGCGGAGCGGAGTTTGCAAAGGAAAGTGCAATGAGACGCGATCTCACAGGTGTGTATGTCCGGCAGCCCGGCGATGAATTGCAGGCGCTTTTAACCTCGTTTAAAATACAGACAGTGCACGCTACGCACGGTCCAAAAGATTCTCAGACCTTCCGCGGAGCGCAGCACACGTCAGAGCACATAAAACAGTTAGTTCAGATGTACAGTTACAGTGTTACGGTATAGAGGCATGATGCTTCTTTTTTGTCAAAAATGTAAAGAAGCCGCATACCACATAGAGAAATAATATAAAATCGTATAAGTACATTTTTTAGCGGAAGACAAAATAAAAGTCCAATTACTAACTGAACTGAGATTTTACCGAATGATTAAAAAATATTTGTATTTCAGAGCAAAGTACATAAATGTTAAGCAACTTATATCGTCGCCTTCCTGATATAAGGGCGTAACTACGCTAGACCTTCTTGAACTCCGTTGTCCATGTAACCTAATGCTCTCTCGGGCTCATCTCAAATTGTAGTTACTCCATATTGTCTGCCAAGCGATGATATGCAATAGCGCATACGATTCCGTAACAAAGATTAGTGTGAAGTAACTCGGGGACTAGGCTGACAAAGAAAAATTAAAGGAAAGAAAAAGAAAACACATGACGTCTACCTAAGTTTCCCAGGTTTCATCAAACATGATTATAAAGAAAGATGTAAAAGCAAAACGGTAAAATACCCGCTTTACCGGCTCATGGCGATAAAAGCCCACCTACGTCCCCTGCGTTCTTTTCTGTGTATTATATTATATCTGTTATATCTCTTCATGCTATACTCGTGCGAGTAAACTTACTGTAAAGTACTGCAATTTGTACCTTACCATGCTTTTCACAAATAAAAATTTGCGGTTCTCGATTAAACTATTTTAAAGCCAAATGTCATCATTGACTGGCTGAGCATGTTACTCCATGTCCTATTTTATTATAAAATCAAAATAAAAGGTAAATAAATAGATAAAATAAAAAAAAAAAACCTTCATTGATCATAAATTTTGTGTAATATACTCTCATATATTTTTATTTGTTCGATTTTATCCTCATACTAGCAAGAAACCCATGCTAACGGTCAGGAAAACCCCCACCATTACCAATCACTGTGATTCGTGATCAGCTACAAATTTTATTTGTGTATTTTTGTTACATACATACGAGTCGCTGTTATAGCGCTCTTTGGCGCTTTGCGACACCTAAACGCCACAAAGCTCGGTCTTCCCACAGGTTATCAGGGAGTTGACACTCCCTCATCTCACTTAATACCCCCTGTCGCCAACCTCTCACTGGGCGTCCCCTACGCCTCCTCCCAGGAGGAACCCAATCAAGCATCTTTTTTGGCAGCCTCTCTTCCGTCATCCTATTGACATGACCATACCAAACAAGTTGTTTGGTCATGACGTCGAACACGATGTCATTTTCGACTTCCATTATCTGACGCACTCTATCATTACGGACCCGATCTCTCCTAGAAATTCCTGCCGACCTTCTCCAGAAATCCATCTCCGTTGCTCTTAGCATATCCTGTGTCCGTTTCTTCAGCTGCCAAACTTCACATCCGTATGTTAATATACTTTTTACTACAGCGTTGTATATCCTCCTCTTGTTATCTTTGGAAATCCGCTGATCCCAGAGGATTCCATTTAACATCGCTATAGCCTTCCTTGCTAAGGTGTTCCTTTCCCTGATAGCTTGATCCGTCCTTCCATCCTGGGTCAACCGCACTCCCAAGTACTTGAAGTGCTCGCAGCATTTGATCTGCTGCCCATCCTTCAACTCAATGCTTTGCTGATCACCACCAAAAGTCATCTTCTCAGATTTGGATATGCTGACTGCATTTTTGTATTGACTGCATTTGTGTATTTTTGTTTACTTTTTTAAAATTTTGGAAATGTTGGGGGGGGGGGGG